CAGGTGAAAGATAGGCGTCCATGCATCTTAATCGTATTCTCAAGACCCTTTCTCTGCTCTCACAACTCCCCCCATCTTTGGCGCACTGATAAAAGCCACAGCTTCAAAATTGTGTTGAACAAATCTGCCTTGCAGTCTGGATTTCAGGGGTCCCGTGACAGCAACAATAACAACAAAAGAAAAAAAGCCGCAGTCCCTCATTGGTTCTTTAACAAGTCACTCAACCCAAATCCGCAGTCTGATTGGCCACTCACGCTTCACCCCTCCCCTCTCTGTCAAGCTGTCACATATGCCACTTCCTGGTGTGATTGGTCGGGGGAACGCAGCGCTGCATCAAAGATGGCTTATTATCAGCCAACATTTGGTTCATTTAGGAGTAATATTGTGACAAAATAAGAGACATCTTGCAAGAAGACAAAGCGGAGAGCCGGTGGTAGCTGTCGCGAGCAGTGTTAGCACTCTCGTCGCACTACGCACCTCTTGCTCTCTCCGTGCGCTAACGTTAACTTGTCCCCACTGTGCTAGCTAGTTAGCTGACATAGTAAATATTAGCTAGTCAAGCAGGCTCGCTTATTGTAGATTGCTAAAATGGCCACCATGGAGAAACTGATGAAGGCCTTTGAGTCTCTGAAGTCATTCCAGCAACAGCAGGGGCCACCGACCGCTGAGGAGCTTGTCCAGAGACAGTAAGTGCTTTTTTGACCATCGGCGATATAATAGCGAGCTAGCACCCGTTAGGCTAGTGACTTAGCTCGCTAGCAACGCTAGTGCCTCTCAGGTTGCTAACCAAGGTTTATTAGATAGCTTGGAGCTAGTCACGCTAACATGCAAGCTAGCAACCAGTCTAAGCACTTATTTAAACTTCTCAGCCATTTTAGAGCTACTTGTTGCCAGGCACTGCGTCTCTGCTTTTTGAGGCTTCTTCTCTTGATGTTATCGTGATCAGATTTACTGATAGTTAGGATCAGACTACTTGAATGATAGTCAACACAGAGGGCAACCGCTCATTGATGGCCACGCATGTGTGAGGGTAAATGTAACGGTTCTGTATGACGTGAATAACTGCACGGGAGTTGGATATTATAAGCTGTATACTAAATGTTTTTGCCTATGACCAGGTGCATTAACATGGGGGCCTTCTGGACTGACGTCATCTCCAAGTTTTTGTGGCCAGCCTTTATTTTTAATTTTTGAAGATTGATAGAAGGAAGTGTAGATTAATTCATGTACTGTTAAATAGTGTATTTAGTCCATAACTCGGAGTTCATAAATCTTTTGTGCTGTGTCTCTTTCTGTGTCCCCTAAGTTGTATGTAAAACCTTGCTTCAACCTTCTTAAGCTGCTGCCATTATGTTACTGTGCTATAGGCTTTATGAGTAGATGCAGGAGAAATTGGTGTGAAATTGTGCCCTTGTGAGTTTCCCCTTCAGCATTGTGACACATTTGAAAAGGTCATTTCTCCCTTTTAAATCAGGACCACTCTTGGCTTGAGTTTAAATGTACACTGCGAATCCTTTCATGCCCTCATGGGGATTTCTGCAGTTGATGTCTTTTCTGTGGCATCTACAGAAGTGAGCTGTGTCGCAGTGTTCAGCATTGTGTCTCTCCATTGTGCCGTTTTGTTATAAGTAAATGATGTAATTCAGATCCTGTGTAGAGATGGATTGACTTCACAGTAGTAAAATTTCATGAATGCGCTGCCTCGTTCTCTGAACCTAATCTGTCTTCGCTTCTCTACTTGTCTTATGCTTTCTCTCTCATCTTCTCGTGCTTCCACAGAAAAAAGGAGCAGGCTACCACAAAGAAGGACAGGGTGACCCACTGTCTGACAATATGTGAAAACATCGTGGCTCAGTCACTGAGGTAGGCCTTGTTAATTGCAGTCTGTTTTGTTTCAGTTAAATCTTGTCGGATTTCCCTTTACTTACCCTTGTAAGACTGTAACCTATAAAATCATTAGGAGCCCAAGATAACTTGTGTGTGAGGAAACTAAGAGTTAAGGCTGTAGAAAAGCTGTGAATGTCTGAAAAGGTTGACATTTTGACTTGTCATAGTGGTAAAACTACAGGTGTTACATGTAATATTAACAATGGCTCTGTTCTAAGCAAGTGTCCCAGTAAAGGCGCCTTTAGAAGGTGCAACAACAATGATTTCTAAGTTTTCTGCATATCGCACTGTGCAGGATGTGTGTAATAAAATCTTGGCCTCAGTCTGTGCCAGACTCCACAACGCTGATTTGATGCGTGTCACGTGTGATAGAAGCACAGTGAATAGTAGCACCACAGGGCGTACAAAAAGAGAGGCACATGAGAGTAGCGGCATATTATCACTGCCCCTTTTAAGTTTTGTTGCCAGAGTCAAACAAATAATTTTTCCCTTTTACTTTTTTTTTTGTCAAAAATTCAGAAATAGCACATATGTGTCAGTTGATGCCATATTCTCATATATGTTTGTTGACCTTTGCCAGTAGATCAAACCGACCAAACAGACCTTAAGCTGTCACAGCAAGCTGTCGTGTACAATACAAGCAGCTAAATGAGAGCCAACTCCTAATTTTACTAATGACCATTTGGGACGATAAACTATGCACAAAGTTTGACAATTTCAGGCAAAAGACTGAGTTGTCATCTTACACTGGTGATGTCATTTGCAACCAGAGTCTGTGTAGTAGTGACCGGGAGTGGGACCTCAATATCGCGTTTCTACCATTCGGTCACTACTGCACAGGCTCTGGTTGTAAATGTCAACAGTGATACATGACAGCACCCACTTCCAAGATATTTTGCCTTATTTTTTATACAATAGGAGTGTAGTGACATGTTATCTATCTTTACATAATAGAATAGAATAAATAGAATATACTTTATTTATCCCCAACCTGGGAAATTTACACGCCACAGCAGCATCTAAAAATATAGAAAGAAAGTACAAGAAAATAACAATAATTAAGTAATATGCATCCCGATGTCCGCACACAGCAGGTCTAAGTCCACATACTGGCAGAATGTGGGGAGAGTGGTAGAGAGCGATGTGTGATTTAAGTCTCCTGAGATGACAATCAGAGACTGAGGGTGTGATGTTTGCAGCTAGGACACTGAACTATGGATGAGTTCACAGGCTGCAGCAGCATCAGCCGAGGGGGGGATGTAAACTGCAATCACCAGGACATGCAAAAACTCCCTCGGCAGGTAAAACGGCCGCAAACCAAATGCCAGCAGTTCAACATCCTTCGTGTAGCGCCGATCTTTAACGCTAACGTGCCCAGCATTACACCATCTCTCATTCACATACATGGCGAGTCCCCCGCCTTTCTTCTTACCACTCTCCCTCCAGCTCCGGTCCACTCTGACCAGGTGAAATCCATCCAAAAGTTACGAGTGAGTCCGGAGTGAGTTCTTTCAGCCATGACTCCGAGAACAACATAAAGCTGCACTCCTGATACTCCCACTGCAGCCTGGTCAGCACTGTTAGCTGTTAGCCCTTCCATCCATTAGGGAGAGACCTCACCTTTCCCGTGATGATGGACAGGACGGACGGCTTGTAGCATCTACATACAGTCTATGTTTGCAGCTGTGTTTTTTTAAACTTTTGCTTGTCAAAATGTCAATTGTGAAAAAGACTTAATGCTCCTTAATGGTCACTTTTGTGCGAGTTAGTTCATGTTAACAGTTTAGTAAATATTATATTGTTACAGACAAATACAAAAATGTGGGCACATTTAATATGGTTATGTGTAATAATATTTGCCTGACTTTTTTCTCTACGGTCCTGGGAACAGAACATCTCCAGAGTTTCAGAAACTGCTTGGCATCGCCATGGAGATGTTCCTGCTTTGTAGTGATGACAGCGAATCAGATGTCCGGATGGTAGCCGATGAGTGCCTGAACAAAATCATCAAAGTGAGTGGGACGCTGCAGGCTCCTTTCAATGTTCCCCTTCATATTGTTTTTCAAGAATTGTACAAAAAGTTCATCATCATTTAATTTTGAATTGATATTCTATGGGAGCAGATAAATAATTAGCAAAATATACTTTGGAACATTATTTCTATGATATATTTTTTGAATCAATCATGTTGCACGGGGTGCTCTTTTGACTTTTATCTTTAGGCATTGATGGACTCCAACTTGCCTCGACTGCAGCTGGAGCTGTACAAAGAAATTAAAAAGGTAATGAGATATAGGTTTGTATAGTGAGACATTTTCATACTAAAAGATATTATGATAGTAGACAAGGTGAAATTAGGGCTACTAAAAAGTGTTTGTTTGTTTCTGTAGAATGGTGCCTCTCGGAGTCTGAGGGCAGCTTTGTGGAGGTTTGCTGAGCTTGCCCACCTCATCAGACCACAGAAATGCAGGTAAAAACTCAAATACCTGAAAAATGGCTTTTTACTTAATTCACACACAAATTGTTTCATGCTAAGGGTGGGAATGTTGTTTAAAATTTGATTCACTTACTTTTTAAACTATATATCCTCTGTGGTAGGGGCAAACACATTACCACTCTACTACTCTGCTCTTTTCTCCTTATCATTAATTTGTGTTCTTACATGTCCCTTCCTCTGTCTCTCCGTTGTTGTGCAGACCCTACCTGGTAAACCTGTTGCCGTGCCTCACCAGAATTACCAAGCGGCAGGAGGAGATGGTGCAGGAGACATTGGCTGCAGCAATGCCCAAGATCATGTCAGCTTTGGGACATTTTGCCAATGATAGCGAGATTAAGGTATCCACACTTGTGAATGCTAAGATGGAAAAAAGTTGTTGTGTGGTAGACACCACGTCCACGATGACAAATGCATGTCCTGCTAGCTTGTCTTCATTGTAATCAAACCCCTTCTGTTTCAGGTGCTGCTGAAGTCCTTTGTGGCCAACTTAAAGTCCAGCTCCCCCACCATCAGACGGACAGCAGCCAGCTCGGCTGTCAGTGTGTGCCAACACTCCAGACGCACCAGCTACTTCTACACCTGGCTTCTTAATGTGCTGCTGGGTAGGTCACACAAAAGCTCACGCCCAGACTCTAGGCTTGCACATTCCCTCCTTTTGTACTTATAACTTTACAGTTCCGCTTATATCTGCTAACATTTGTGAGTTAACTTTGTGTAAAATTGCTTTTAGCTACAGTACCCATGCAGTAAAATAGCACACAGTGACATACACTGTGTCCTCTTGTCATTTTCCAGGTCTGCTGGTTCCAGTGGATGACGAACACCCGAGCCACCTCATTCTGGGGGTTCTGTTAACGCTTCGCTACCTGATGCCTCTGCTGCAGCAGCAAGTCAACACCACGAGCCTCAAAGGAAGCTTTGGAGTGATGAGAAAAGAGGCTGACGTGCAGCCAACACCTGAACAACTGCTGCAGGTGAGAGGCAGAGTGTGTCTGTAAGAAAGTGAGCTTGCATGTGTACCTGTGTTTGTATAACTATTTGTGTAATAATTCTGTGTGTGTGTTTGAAGGTGTACGAGCTGACCCTACACTACACGCAGCACTGGGATCACAATGTGGTCACAGCTGCTCTGGAGCTCCTGCAGCAGGTGTTCAGGACTCCCCCTCCAGAGCTCCTGCACATGCTCATCACCGCCGGCAGCATTCCACATGCCAGTGTGTTTCGACAGGACACTGAGAACCGAGCGCGTTCTGGCAGCATCCTTGAGCTCATTGGTAATCGCATCAATCATTTGGGACTGCATGTGTTATGAAACTTGTTATCTCTGTTGTATGATGTGATAAGGGCTTTTAAGTATTTACATAAACCCCCATCACTTGGGACACAAATACATCCACTTCAGGTTGCTTCTAATTCATTCACTCATACTGACCTTGGCAGGAAATCAGTCAGCCAAACTGTGTTGGTTCTCCACTGTAGTTTCTGCTTTGGTCTGCGTTTGTGGCCTTTTTCTTTGCACCTTAACTAATTTCTTCTCATCTTTAATTAATTGTTTCTGTTTCCTAAAAGTCTTTTCTGAGCTTTTTGCTGCTTTTCTCCTCCTCACCTGCTGTTTTCTGCTTCCTGTTTTCCTGCCATTTGCAGCAGGGGGAGGGTCTTCCTGCAGTCCACTCCTTCTCAGGAAACAGAGAGGTGACTATTTATCTCCTCTGCTCACCTCTGACCTCTTACTGATGTTTCAGTCGGTGCTCGGGCAGCTTTATCTTCGACTGACTCACTTTAGGCACTGCTTTCAGCTCTTAATTCTTGATATGCTGTTAACCTTATGTATATACAGAATGTCTTTGCATTCATTTTGAATAAAATGCCCCCCACCTAGGTTTTAATCTCTTTTTCCTCTCTTAATCTCATGGTAATGCTAATGTCTGACAATAGATCTGTTGTTTGCAGGTAAAATGCTCTCGGGGGAGGAGGATGGGTTAGAGGATGACCCTGACAGGACTGACGTCACGACTGGTGCCTTCGCAGGTGAGACACCGTCACCAGAAAGTATATGTAAAGTATCAACTAACTGTGGCAGTCTTACTAACTTTACAGTGTAAAATAAGATGCCAATACCCTAGAAAAACTAAGTGTGTTTTTGTGACTTCAGCATCAGTCGTAGGCGCAGACGGCTCCTCTGCGGCCCAGGTGGACATCATCACCGAGCAACCACGCTCCTCCCAGCACACTCTGCAGCCCGGTGACTCTGTGGACCTCAGCGCCTCCTCAGAGCAGGGCGGCGGTGGAGGCGGGACGTCTGCGTCAGGCACTCCAGAGTCACCCAATGACAACGAGGAGGAAATGCTGAGTCGGAGCTCCAGCGGCGGAGCCAACGTTACGCCAGAAACGGCTGACTACACCACACCAGAGAATGCCACTCCAGAGGGTGGGCCCCTAGGAGAAGGAGGGCCACTGCTAGGCACCAATGATCGCTCACTTCCACCCAGCGACTCCTCCCAGACCACCACAGAGGGACCAGACTCGGCTGTCACCCCTTCAGACGTAGCAGAACTGGTCAGTGTGACTGTGTGGGCATGAAAGTCAAGTCAACTACATGCAAGTAGTTGAGACTACAGCCTGAACATACACTACTTTACTTGTGCGTATATGTGTGTGTTTGTGTGAAATACAGAGGGCAGCGTAATTCCCTAGACAAATAAAGATTTAATTACCCTGTCAGGCTGCAATTAACTATGAACCCTTATGTCCCTAATGGCATTGTTCTCGGTTTAAGAATGATGCTTCACGTCATAGAATTGGGATTTGTAGAATGGATCAGACTTTGCTTCCTTTTCCCTCATTTTCTTAAGCATTAGAGGAACCATATCAGGTGTTTTGCATATTTTTGCTCATTGTTTGCAAATTGCTTAGTTCAAATTTACTGTAACACACCTTTTCCTGGAGACTTTTTCCAAGATAAAATGCAGTTTATCATACTAGCTATTGGAAGTGCTCTTCAGAAAATAAATTATCATACTAAAAATCATCCTTTAAAGTCATGTGCGCCTGTCACACTCTTTGAAGGAGTATGATTTTCTATGTCGGTATTTTTCATACTGTGTTTTTGTGCTCCTAGACATGACATTCCTTTAAATTAGTTATTTTTGGCTGCTGGGCTCATGATATGGTCCACGATCTCTTTCTGCTGTAAAGATACTGACTTACTTTCACTGTTCTTCAGAAAATAAATTACTTCTTGCCAGCAAAACATTCTTAGTCAAGTTCAGGCTGTGTGTTGATGATATTTTAGGACAGAATCACGATCCACAATCTAACTCACAATTCTCCCCAGAGATGAGATGATAGTGATTAGTTGTGCATAATGTTGCCTGGATACAAACACTCTCACTTGAACTCAAGCCTAAAGCTCCAACTCTAAATCTCTGCATTTTGTTTTTGCATAGATTTTATAATACAAGTCCTGGCTGGATTTTTGTCTCAGCTGCTTTTAAGCTTCCTTTGAAAGTTCAGTAGCTGCTAATCAGATAGCCCCATCCTGTCTTGTGTTTTCCTTCCTGTGGACTGGCTAGGTCACTGTTGTGGCAGTCCTCAGTTTCACCCCCTCTGCAGTGAGTCTCTCCAACTCCAGCATCCTGGGAGTGCAGCTGGCGAGGCTAGTGATCTGTCTTATCACGGATGGACTTTGGACAAAGAGCAGAGCCAGGACTAGCATTGCCAGCTGCAGTCCAAGATGGTAGAGTTGGAGTTTGTCTGCAGGATGAGAGACTCACTGGAGAGGGAGCTAAATGACATTGACCACCACAACAGCAACCTGGCCAGCCAGCAGCTTGGGAAACACAAGGTGGGATGATAGCTGGCTAGTTAGCAGCGACTGAATGTCCAAAATGGAATACTTATATAGCACCCCCAATGATGTGACCTGTATGATTCAGAAAAGTAAATCATATGGGAAATTAAGCTCGTCAAAATAAGAGGGTTGTGAAATCGCAGATCCCCCAAGTCAGAAAATCATGTGAGTAAAACTGCAGTGATGCTTTGAGAAGACATGTTGTAAAAGAAGCTGAAGAAACTCACTAGTGGAAAACGTTAGAGCTAAAAAGAAAAACACTACAATTGCACTTTAACATAATAGGCTGGTTCTGTAGCACAAGGATGGATTATCACTATTAAAATACATCCACTGTTGTGGATGTAGTCCTTGCCCTTAACACGACTGCTAACATTTTTAAACGTCATTTTAAGACAAAAATAGAACATATATTTCTATTTTTTTGGGTAAACGTGTACAACTACATGCAAACCACTTATGTGGAAGTTTAACATATTTAACAACACAATAGTTTTATAGTTTGATATTTTTATAACTGCTTTTTCAAACACATTGGAAGAGGTGTTATGTTACACCTTAAACTCAGTTTTTTGGAGGGTAGCAGGTCAGCCTGACTTGCCTCCCACAAACCAGACAAAATGTTTCCATTCTAACAATTCTACTTCTATGGTCTTGCCCCCTCTCCTATTTCCTCCTCACTTCGTCGCAGTCGCGCACTCCATTGCCGCGGGTGATTGAGCCGTCCCCACCCTCACCAACTTCCACAGAGGGGCCCGATGCCACAGACAGCGACTCCTCTGTCTACACTGCTTCCTCTTCGTCGTCTTCTTTCTCTTTCACCTCCTCTTCCTCCTTCTATGCCACCTCCTCCTCCTCTAGCACTAGCGACAAGGTCAGCCAATTGGACGCTTTGAACAGAGCGGCAGGGGCTTGCTTGTCTCGAAACGTTTGGCTTTCTTCTTCCTTTCTCCTTTCGTTGGCTTGTTCGTCTCTCAACCCATGCACAAAATTTTCCCGGCTTGTTACTGTTTTTTCCCCCCTCTTGTTGTCGGTGACAATATATGATGAATGCCCCTTTTTGTTTTCCTCGTTTCAAGTGATATTCTCCCAAATAGTTGATGGTTTTTGAAAGACTTTTGCAAAAACAAGCAACCCCGATGCCCTGTGTGATTGGCTTGCAATGGAGGCATGGAGGCCAACTGTCCCTTAACTGTTTCCTTTAGATTTCATTCTTTCTACCATTTGGAGAGGCTGTGACGGGCTTTTGTTCCAGTAGAAGCTAAAACTAGGGAATAAAATAATGTGCAGTGTATTTCAATTTTTTTCAGCAGTACTCAGTTGGTGCAATCCTTCTAGGAAGAGATCTTGTCTAAAAAGACAAGATCAGCTGTGTTGGAGCTCTCTTGCTAAAAAGCCATATAAATGACCTAAAAGGTAGTGGTGCTTGGGGTAGTTCATCCTAGAGTGTCTTCAGAGTCAGTGTGGATCAAAAGCTTGCTCTTCCTCTGGAGTGTAACAACTAGAATTTCTGTAGCCTGTGCTTTTTCCCTGTATGTAGTTAATTTGCTGTAAATTGCGTTCACCCAAGCATGATTCAGTGGACCTTTGATAGGGGAATGATTGTTTGACTTTCAATTTTAGTCATTTGTTGTAATGTCTTCTTCCTCAATCCAGCATAACTAACTCAATGAGTCGAAACTATATCGTTATTGTTTGCATGCGGTTGCATTTCAGACTGAGACAAATTGTTGCATGTAGTGTGTTTGTGAAGTTTTGGTTCCTATTAGAGATGTTTGTCTTTTGTGTGTGCTTAAGGTCCTGGATGGCAGTGAGAGTCAATATTCTGGGATGCAGATTGGAACACTACAGGATGAAGAGGATGAAGGAACACCGTCTTCCTCGCAGGAAGAACCCCCAGAACCCTTCCTGCAGTCAGCACTGGGTATGTTTGTGTGCACAGCAACACAGACAGGCTCTGCTTATTGATAGAAGGCCTTAATCGTGGTTTTTGTTTTGGTGATCTGTGCAGCTCTGAGCAAGCCCCACCTCTTCGAAGGCAGAGGTCACAACCGGCAGGGTTCAGACAGCAGTGTGGACCGCTTCATACCAAAAGATGAACCTGCTGAACCTGAACCTGATAATAAGGTAAAGACATCCCCACAAAAATATCCTTTCTAGTTGTTTACAATCGAAAGAGAGGTCAAAAAAGTCATATCTTGTATCTGATTATGTAACTCCTGTGCCTGTCTATTAGCCATCACGAATCAAGGGTCCAATTGGACACTATACAGACCAGGGGGTGGAGCCGCTAGTGCACTGTGTACGGCTTCTTTCTGCTTCTTTTCTGCTGACAGGCCAAAAAAATGGTGAGTGGCTTTCAAAATAACTCAAAATGACAATATGCATTTACCAAACAAGGTTGGAAAACACAAGAACAATAATTTGACTAATTTAAGTCAGGTCGCAACCAAATTCATTTAAATTTAAATACCTATTTTAAATTTTTTTTAAAAAAAGGAACGTTGGCCTGTAAAGTCAAACCTCCCAACTGCAGAATATAACTTGTCTGTTCAGGCCTCGGCTTTATACAGTTTTCTGACTTTTGCTTGTTTGTGCATGTGTCTGACATTTCTGTTTGCCTTTGTTGACTTTCTCCAGGTTTGATCCCTGACAAAGAGGTGCGAGTGAGCGTGAAGGCCTTGGCAGTCAGCTGTGTTGGAGCAGCAGCTGCACTGCATCCTGAAGCCTTCTTTAATTCCCTCTACCTGGAGCCGCTGGACGGCATTCCAGTAGAAGGTAGGAGTCAATTGCTAATACCCTCCTATTTAAATGATCCTCAACAGCTATTGGATTAGTAAAATGCTTTCTGGACACAATTATGCCTGCAGTAACAGTAAAAAGTGTGGTCGATGAAGATGGTTTTATTAGTGATTTCTGTACTAGAAATGGTGCACACAAATGCCCATACAACCATACTTTGTAGTATGCCAGAAAAACATTTAGTGTGTCCCCATACATAGCACATCAAATGCATTTTGCCAAAAATACAGGCTGTCCTCCTAGAGCCTGTCTTATTTTGCATTATGTAAGCCGGTATGCTTTTTCTGGACATTCTGACCCATAATCCTCTGCATAGCAGAAGGTTTGTCACAGTTTCTCGTGCAAGTAACAAACTTGAGCTGCACAGAGCACTCAGACGTACAACAGCTTATTTCACAGACTGCAATGGATATATGCACAAAGTTTAGGGCACAATGTTATGACACACTAGAACGTCCCAGTTTTATGCGCACTGCATGCAACAGCAGGTACTTTATAAGGGCAGCAGTAAATGTATGCAAAATATACATTGTCAAATGTTTTAGTTATTAAACTCAATAAACTAGATGAACTAAGAAACCTTACCTCAGTTGAAAATCTGACATTTAGTGGCGTTTTCTGAGATTTTTCCTCATCAGAGATTGGAAACTAGAATTCCCAGTTGCCATTGAATTCAGTAATAATGCAACTAATGTTTTATTCAATAACACTTACTGAAAGTGTAGAATGAGATAGCTGGCTGTTTTGCATTTTGATGGAGCACAGCAAGTGTTATTCAGAGCTGACATTTTGACTTGTCATAGTAGGAAAGGTACATGTGACACTACTAACATGAACAGTAGCTGTGACCGTGAACCAGTTCACACGATATCAAGAACACATATAACCAACTCAATGGAATTCAGCCATTTTCAATTTTATGTATACCCGTGCTTTTGCTTCTGTGATCTGTCAAAGTATATTTTATGAAAAAGGCCTGTATTGCATGTGTCAGTTGCAAAATGTATTAACTAACACCTGTGTTTTTGTGTGGCATTAACCCTGTGTTTGACGATGCTCTCTTTCTCTGTCCCCCTGCAGAACAGCAGTATATCAGTGATGTTCTGGGCCTCATTGACCATGGGGACCCCCAGATCAGAGGCGCCACAGCCATCCTATGCGGAGCTATCATACAGGCTGCTCTCACCAAAACACGCTACAACATACACACTTGGCTGGCCGGTGTGCAGAGTGCAACTGGTAACCCTCTGTCCCTGGTGGACTTGGTACCTTTGCTCCAGAAAACTCTGAAAGACGAATCCTCCGTCACCTGCAAGTTGGCTTGTTCTGCAGTCAGGGTAAGACGTGATCTGAGTGTGTCAGTTGTCTGTGTTCTGAGTGAGTGTTTGTGAGTCTTTACCTTTTTTGTGTGATGTGTTTCAGCACTGCATCATGACGGTGTGTAGCAGTACCCTGAGTGAGCTTGGCTTGCAGTTGGTGATAAATCTGTTTGCTCTGAGGGACTCTTCCTATTGGCTTGTTCGCACTGAGCTCTTGGAAACTCTGGCTGAGTTGGATTTCCGGTATGATAAATTCTGTAATTTGCTGTTTCAAAACCACTATAACCTATACCCTAACAATGCCTGATAAATACAGTGTCTTTTGTCTATTAACGATATTTACGATTTCCTGTGCTTTAGATTGGTTAATTTCTTGGAGAGGAAAACTGAGGTTTTACACAAAGGAGATCACCACTACACTGGGGTGAGTTATCCAGTCTACCTTCCTTGTAATGTCTGCTGTGTACAGTGCAAGTGTTAAATGCAAGTGTTAGACTCCCAAACACACATGCAGGATGTATAATTTTAAGTTCTCAACATTCAGCTGCTGACTGTGAGCCCAAATTTCTTTCTCTATCTAGTGTCTGCGGCTGCAAGAAAGGGTCCTGAATGATGTGGTCATACGTCTGTTGGGAGATGATGATCCAAGAGTACGGCATGTGGCTGCCTCTACAGTCAGCAGGTACACTAACTCCTCACACGTAGTGTATTGGCTATGCCATGCATCCTGTACGTACTGGACTTTGCTTTAAGTACATGTTTTCTTGCCTCTCCCTTATGATCCTCTAAACCTTCCCTTGTCTCTGTGCCTGTCTCTGTAACAGACTGGTTCCCAGGTTGTTCTATGACTGTGATCAGGGCCAGGTGGATCCGGTGGTGGCGATAGCTCGGGACCAGAGTTCAGTCTACCTGCAGCTTCTTATGCATGAGACACAGCCCCCTTCCCAGTTTACAGTTAGCACAATCACAAGGTACACACATGAACTCTCTTGCATGCCTTTGGTGTCACACCTAAGGCGCTCTTAATGCTCATGTTTCTCAAAATTATCGGTCTTGTGTTTCTTTATGTCACAGTATATGTTATTGTTCAGATTAATTTACCTTTGTGCAATCTCTTTTAGGCCATAAATGTCTTTCCCTTATGATCAGAACTGCTTTGAATTAGAAGATGTAGTGTTTGCAGTTGCAAACAAAACTCCTGTGGAAGCCTCAGAACACTTATTTTTCTGTCTTCCAGGACGTACCGAGGCTACAACCTGTCCAACGCTGTGTCTGACGTCACATTGGAGAACAACTTGTCGAGAGTTGTTACTGCCGTCTCCCACGCTTTCACTTCGTCTACCTCCAAAGCCTTAACTGTGAGCATAACACTGTCCCTTTTTTGTTACTTGCTCTGCAGCAAGTTTCTGGTGTGCATGTTGTATTTTCATAACAAATTCAAATTACTATTCTTCTGTCTTTCTCTGCAGTTTGGCTGCTGTGAGGCCTTGTGCCTCCTGGCTTCAAATTTTCCAGTGGGCACTTGGAGCACAGGCTGGCACTGTGGCTATATTAGCTCCAGCAGCCACTTTTCTTCCCGCTCCAGTCTCAACCGCAGTAGGGGCAGAGCCCTCAGGTTTGTGTACCCTCTCTCGCTCATGAATTAATTTTTTTACCTCTTCATTTAATGCCATCCCAGTTGTGTTTTTATTTTGGATGGCATTAGTTTTGCTTTTCATTTCAATTCCTTTTTCTTTGTATTGCTGATCATCTTTCCTTGTGTCTCTCTGTTGTGCAGTTTGTCACAGCCCAGCAGTGCTCCAGCCTCATCGACCACCTCATCTGTACCAGACACTGAGCGGAGGACTCTGACAGTAGGAATGGCCAACATGGTGCTGTCTTTACTATCCTCTGCCTGGTTTCCACTGGATCTCTCAGCACATCAGGACGCACTATTGCTTTCTGGCAACCTGCTCGCTGGTGGGTAATTTGCATGAAAATGTCTTGTTTTTTTAATGTAGCTTGAAATTACATGCACAAATGTTATCCAGCTTTTCACTCAAACAAAACTTTCCAGGCAAAAGATGTAGCCTGTTATTGACTAACCAGTCTTTTAATCATGTTCCCAGCTGTGGCTCCTAAATGCATGCGCAACCCCTGGGCAGGAGAGGAGGAAGGCAGTAGCGGGAACACCAGTGGAGGTCCAAATAAGATGGAAGAGCCCTGGGCAGCGCTGTCGGAGCGCTCCCTGGTGGCCATGGTGGAGCAGCTCTTCTCCCACCTGCTTAAGGTCCTCAACATCTGCGCCCATGTGCTGGATGACACACCACCAGGACCAGCAGTTAAGGCAAGTCTGACAAGGAGGGATTGTGTTATTTGGTTTGATTTCCTCATAGTTGTAGCAAATATTTAAGCCACATTTTACTTGGATTCATCTGCTTTTATTTACAAGTTTGAGCAATGTATTGAGTTCAGTTTTTGTACTGTTTCCCAATTTTTAGGCTGCCCTCCCCTCGCTGAGCAACACCCCCTCCCTCAGTCCCATTCGTAGAAAAGGCAAAGAGAAGGAGGCTACTGAGCCCAGTGCTGCCCCGATGAGCCCAAAGAAAAGCAATGAGGTTAACACAGGTACATGCGCACCTCACCGTCCTCCAACAAAAGTACAGATCATCTCTGACTATCTGAATATTTCATAAGTTGCTATTTGTGCTTTTTTTTATTGAGCAGGCAGACCAGCAGACAGCACAGGGTCCACAGCAGTAAACAAATCCACCACCATTGGCAGCTTCTACCATCTGCCCCCCTACCTCAAGCTCTACGATGTGCTTAAAGCTACACACGCCAACTACAAGGTTAGGACACTCATCATAACAGAAAAGTGTTTGCACAAGGTTTCATAGCCTGGATGGTGGTTGTAGTAAATATTTTTGTTCTGTCATAGGTAACGTTGGACCTCCACAGCAGCCAGGAGAAGTTTGGAAGTTTCCTGCGTTCCACCTTAGATGTTCTGTCTCAGCTGCTGGAGCTGGCCACACTACATGACATCGGCAAGGTAAAGATGAATTTTATCACCTCTGTACACTCTTAAAGTTTTAATATTAGTGGGATCAGGTTAGAGGTTGATTGTAAAGTTATTTTCTTTTAATCAATGCAAGCTAGTAAACAAGCTTTTTAGTGTTTATGCTTGCTGAAATCAACAGAACATAATAATGTGTTATGTCTTCTGTCAGTGTGTGGAGGAAATTTTGGGCTACCTCAAGTCCTGCTTCTCCAGAGAACCGACCATGGCTACTGTTTGTGTACAACAGGTCAGTAATCTCTTTGTTTATGTCTCTGAATTGTAGACTTTATTTTTTGGACTGTCACTTTATTGTGTGTGGCAGTCTTTATGGTTCTAGCACTGAGCAGTGTGCTACAATCTGTCCGACTCCACACAGAGTGAGGCTGGTTCCTGCCGACAGGGCCTATAAAGGCATTGGATTCCCTGTGCGATGGTTCCATACATTATTTTTTTATGTGGTAAGAGACAGATAGTAATAATATTCTTTCTGAATTACATTTTTCGATAAGTTAGCTATAATCAGCAGGCCAAAGATAACATCACTAGTTAAGGCCCTGCTTGTTAGTTTTGAGTTAATGCCAGAATTAGACCTCTGAACTCCAAAACCTACAGGCTGGATCGAAAAACATGTTATCTTTAAAAAAAATTGCCACAATTACACACTTTGTCATTGAAAGAAACTGAACAGGACAAATCATTGGATTTTTAACTTTCCAGCAGCCCTTGAACTAGTTATTTGTGATGTATGTTTCGTCTGAGAAAGTTCCCAATCTAATCTTAAAATCAGGATATTTCATCAATCACTGCATTTTATGTGTCTAATACAAAATTCACTAAAAATAAACCCGTTTCACCAACTAGATTTTTCAAAAAGCACAGGATTTTGGTTATATCCACACTGATTACTAATCCTGTGGAGGCAAAAGCCCACAAAAGAATCTGCTCAAGTCATAGAATAGCAAAGATGGAAAAATTTAATGATCTGATCAGTTTCAGAGATAATGGGGTTTTCCGTTAGTCTGGGTTAGCCAAACTGTCTCTAGCCAAGACAACATGATATGCATTTCCATTGCCTCATGACAAGGGACAGTCCCACCGAGCCGGGGTGGTCCTGCTTAGTAGCAGCCCTGACTACATGCCATATCATGACCATCTTCTCCCCTTAGCTGTGTCCTGAACTCATGGGTTTGTGCAGGAGACCAGCAAGAACTCCCTGTTTAGCTCTTAGTATTTTGTAGGTTATGCCTGAATCTTTGGGTTTAGAGTTTTGTTTCACGCCAGCATTTCTGTTTTTATTTTCAGATATCAGCCTTATTTTAATATTAACTAATATTTTTCAGCTACATTGGAGCTTTAAGTTACTGCTGATGGAAACTAAATAATTCTTGCTGTTGCTGCTCCACCACAAGTTTTTTACAGGCAAACAACAAGAATGCTTTAATTGTAAAAAAGTTAAGAAAATGTGGGTGTTAGGTCTGAATTCGTGGTGCACTATTTGGTCTTAAATGTTTGTGACTACTAAGAGCTTTGAGTCCCAAATGATCTTCCAATACTACGAGACACCACTAGAACATAAAAGATGTAAAGACTAAATCTGAGAATCCAGTTGATAGATTTAATAAAACTTGAAAATGCCACTTGTTGGTTTAGTTTAAGATGGTATGTTTTCAATTTGTTCTAATAGTTCAAGTATTTTTCTCTAGTTGTTGAAGACCCTGTTTGGGACCAACCTGGCCTCCCAGTATGAGGGTGTCCTGAGTGGACCCAGCCGTTCCCAGGGGAAGGCTCTCCGTCTGGGCTCTTCCAGCCTGCGACCCGGCCTCTACCACTACTGTTTCATGGCTCCATACACACACTTCACCCAGGCTCTGGCTGATGCTAGTCTTCGAAACATGGTACAGGCTGAGCAGGAGCAAGACGCCTCTGGGTGAGCAATACAGATCTTGCATTTGTGTGAATGAGATTATAGATAAGAGATAGATAATATACACCAGATGAATATATATCAAAAAGTCTGCATTGATGTGCACATATAGGATATAACAAGCTTTCCTTTTTTCTTCATGTTTCTAGATGGTTTGATGTGATGCAAAAAGCATCCAATCAGCTAAGGTCCAACATTGCAAATGCAACACGTCACAGAGGAGATAAGGTACACTTGCATTGTGCTCCTGCTTTTATCAAACTGAGACTGTGCTGTGAACAGCTAGAACTATGCTGCAGATCAAAACACCCAAGTGTTGCTTATGTGGGCTACTGCTGTTCTGAAAGCTGTTGCTTCCTCTCTGATTTCCCAGAATGCCATCCACAACCACATTCGACTGTTTGAACCGCTGGTAATCAAAGCTTTGAAGCAGTACACCACCAGCACCTCTGTGGCCCTGCAGAGACAAGTGCTAGACCTGCTCGCCCAGCTTGTGCAGCTCAGAGTCAACTACTGCCTACTCGACTCGGATCAGGTAAAACCCACACATGCACATTTTTGCATGCATACAACTTCAAATTCTATAATTTTATCTCACTTTAACATTTCTGTACATTTCAGGTCTTCATAGGCTTTGTTCTAAAGCAATTTGAGTACATTGAAGTGGGACAGTTCAGGTAAGTTTTGTCAGTAAATCCTGTAAAACAGCTACGTGTGAAGTCTTTGTGGTTACATAAATGATTAAAGCTTGCTTCCACTTGCTGTGCAATGGCTCAGATATTACAGAACTGTCCTACGCACTAAAATAACTTGTTGTGCTTCTCGCTCAGGGATTCTGAGGCCATCATTCCCAACATCTTCTTCTTTCTGGTGCTGCTGTCCTATGAGCGCTACCATTCCAAGCAGATTATCAGCATCCCCAAGATCATCCAGCTCTGTGATGGCATCATGGCCAGCGGCAGGAAGGCTGTCACACATGGTGAGAGGAACACCATCTAGTGTTTTCTTCTTTGGAGCATTGATGCTTATTTCTTCTACTTGTAAGGATGCTTTTATTGAGCTCCCCATCTTCCAAATATGTCTTTAGGGGTAATGATCATATAATAGACAGAAATGCAAAAATTGATGTGGATGTACTTGATTGCTTTCCTCCTTCCTCTACAGCCATCCCAGCCTTACAGCCAATAGTACATGACCTGTTCGTCTTGAGGGGTTCAAACAAAGCAGATGCAGGCAAAGAGCTGGATACGCAGAAAGAAGTGGTCGTCTCCATGCTGCTCAGACTCGTACAGTACCATCAGGTACAGTGACTAGTAGATGCAAAGAGAAAACACAAGTTAATGTTGTCAAATATTCCAGCCACTCTTTTCTTTTTCTTACATGTGCTTTCACATGTGTTTTGTAGGTGCTGGAGATGTTCATCCTTGTGCTGCAGCAGTGCCACAAAGAGAATGAAGACAAGTGGAAGAGATTGTCCAGACAGATAGCTGATGTCATTCTTCCCATGATTGCCAAGCAACAGGTGGGAAAGTGTTTGCAGGTGTATGTGTTTGATTCGTCATCACTTTCATCGGTGGTACACAGTAGCTGTGTTTCCATCGTGTATTTGTTTTGTTCATTTTGAAGTATTGCATAAGAAAGTTAATTGGAAATGGGAAAACTCAAAACAACTTTCTCAATTTTGTAAAAAACATTTCTGTGCTAGTTTGTGGTGTTTTTTTGTTTTTTTTTTGACTTTTTCAAAAGACTTAATGCTTCTAATGGGAGATGAAAAGCCTCTTTTTGAATAAGTTCTGACATAGCAAACATTCAACTCACATGACTGATCAGCTGTTTCTGCTGCCTCTGTTGTCTTTGCCTGCAGACAGCACAAAACATGACAGATACCAACTAATATGACCGAATAATTACAACTTGCCTGATTGAAACAATTCGTTAGACCTCCATCCAATTTTCTTCTTTTAGCCAAAGTTTTTTTTAAATTTCTTTTTCTGCTTCTTTGGCAGTTGGCAGACAACTGGTTTTGTTTCTGGCTTCCTGTATTGTTTATTACAGTCATGTGTAATGTGACCTAGACCAAATTTATTTGACAATTAAATAGAGACACTACCAGTAAAATGTTAACATGGAAATAGTAGTCAATGATACTACAATGTGTGTAATTAAATTATTTGGCAACTGTTATGTATTTAATTAAGTGTATTTGCCCCTGCAGATGCATCTGGACTCTCCGGAGGCTCTGGGAGTGTTGAACACTCTGTTTGAGACTGTGGCTCCCTCCTCCCTCAGACCTGTAGACATGCTGCTCAAGAGTATGTTCACCATCCCAGCAACCATGGTGAGACATCTGAGCTGAGATATACACAATAGTCTCAATGAACTTTTAACACCATGTGTACTTTTTTTGTTGGGTAATATTTGAAATGTTTTATGTGACTTATTCCTCCAGGCATCTGTAGCTACAGTCCAGCTGTGGGTTTCTGGTATCCTGGCAGTGCTCAGGGTGCTGGTCTCCCAGTCCACTGAGGACATCGTTCTGTCTCGGGTCCACGAGCTCTCACTCTCCCCACATCTCCTCTCCTGCCACACAATCCGCCGTCTGCATCAGCAGAGCCTCTCCCCCAATGGCCCACCTGCTGCTGACACACTCGCTAACCAAGAAGCTAATGGTGAATCTCAAAAGGCTCCCCCTGAGGAAACCTTTGCCAGGTTAGTGAGTGTATTCTCTGTGTGGCTGAGTTTTAGAATGTTTGAGGGATGTTACTGCTACGACTTTGCCCCCACATGTCTTACTCTGCCTTCCTTTAGCCTTCTTCTACTTGAAATGTCTTGCTCCCACGTTCCTCTAGGTTCCTCCTCCAGCTTGTAGGCGTGTTGCTGGATGACATTTCCACCAGGCAGGTTAAAGTGGATATCACTGAGCAGCAACACACCTTCTACTGCCAACAGCTGGGCACACTGCTCATGTGTCTCATACATGTCTTCAAAAGTGGTAAGCATATGTCCTTTCTGTATTATGTGTGTTGAAAGTGAAATTCATTAAAAATCCATCTAATTTTTCTGAGTTTGTGTGCAATAACTGTAAGCCATTCAAAAAAAAAAAAAAAAACATTATTAAATTCCTTTCTGTCTTTTTTTTGTGTGTGTGTGTTTTCAGGAATGTTTCGCAGGATTACAGCTGCAGCCAGTCGTCTCCTGAAGGGCGAGAGCGCTGGTGGTCAGACGGGCACCGAGGCCAGTCTCTTCTACCCCTTAGAGGGTCTGAACAGCATGGTGCAGTGCCTCATCACCACCCACCCATCCCTGGTGCTCCTCTGGTGCCAGGTCCTCCTCATCATCAACTACACCAACTACTCCTGGTGGGCTGAGGTTCATCAGACACCCAAGTAAGAACAAAGCAAGGAGACCCACTCATGTCAAGTTTATTTAGGTGTAGGCCCTGTACTACAAATACAGAGACTGAGTAGGTCACAAAGCAATTCTCTTAAGGTAAACAAGGAAAATACTTGACATCAACGAGTGCTTTCATATTTACTAGTAAATTCATTGAGCTATAACAAATTGAGCAAAATCATAGCACCGTATCTACATTCCATCAACCCTGCCTCTGTCCCTTCCTTTCCTTCTGCCAGAAGACACAGCCTCTCATGCACAAAGCTGCTGAGCCCTCACTCCTCAGGGGAGGGTGAAGAGGACAAGCCTGAGTCCCGGTTAGCCATGGTCAACAGAGAGATTGTACGCAGAGGAGCACTAATCCTCTTCTGTGACTATGTGGTAAGACTACTAAGAATGTTTGACCACATAGTGTGAGTGAATCCAAAATGTGTTATTAGGATAAAAACAGAAAACTTGTTTATCTAACATGCTGAATACTACATTTACACATTTCTTAACAGTAGTAACGCCACTTTCCTGAACAAAGAAAGCAGGTCCTAACTGCAGGACCAAAGTTTAAAACATCAGCAAAAGTGTTACAAAACCACATTGCCCTGAAGCACAACACTTAATCATTTTTGTAAATTGTATCACTCTGAGAAAATTGTGTAATTTATACTATATGCTACTCTCTTTTTAGTGTCAGAACCTCCATGACTCAGAGCATCTAACCTGGCTGATTGTCAACCACGTGCGTGACCTAATCAACCTTTCCCATGAGCCTCCAGTGCAGGACTTCATCAGCGCCGTCCACCGCAACTCAGCTGCCAGTGGCCTCTTCATCCAGGCCATCCAGTCCCGCTGTGACAACCTCACTACTGTAAGACAACATCCTTTTATATTTGGCTTTTTGGCCTGCCATATTTTGTCACATACATAATATATTTGTGCTTCTTTCCTGCCTTCCTTCCCCTCTCACACATCTTATTCTCTTCCTCCATCCCTCTGTCATTTTCTCTCCCATGCTTATAGCCCACCATGTTGAAGAAAACATTACAATGTTTGGAAGGCATCCACCTCAGTCAGTCTGGATCTCTGCTGATGCTTTATGTGGACAAGCTGCTCAGTACCCCCTTCAGGGTTTTGGCTCGCATGGTGGACACACTGGCATGTCGCAGGGTAGAGATGTTGCTGGCTGAGACACTACAGGTACAATTTAGAGCTGGGTGAATTTTATTGTCACATGGGAGTTTCCTTTCAAGTTGAACATGTGATAAATTACTTTGTCATAGAAGCAGGGACTTGCCTTATAGGACTTAGACATTTCTATAAGTGGATAAATACACTCACTGGGAAATGTTTGAGGAAAAAGTGTGAAAATGTTGTACTGTAATATTGTCTCTTTATCATATCCCTCATTGTGGTACCTTTTCCACTTTCCAGAATAGTATAGCGCAGCTACCTCTGGAAGAACTGGACAGGATCCAAGAATACCTCCAGACCAGTGGCTTGGCTCAGAGGTAAGAATGTACTTCTGGCTTACTTCTGACTTTTTGTAGCTAGTCCTTGCTAAAATGAGTTATGTACTTTCATCGCCCACCTGCTCAGACTAGAGCCAAGTACATGCACATTTTGGGCGGTTTTTATAGCTTGGATTTTCTAAATAATGCACGCTTCTATTTAAATTTTCAAAAACTGACTTATAATAGTAGACAATGAGCCTAAAAATGGACATTATTTAAACAAATAAATGTTAAAGTATGTCATATCCTCTGTTCATTTCTGTTCCAGGCATCAGAGGTTCTACTCCCTGCTGGACAGGTTCAGAGCCACTGTTGCCGACACTAGTAGCCCCACCCCTCCGGTGACATCACACCCTCTAGATGGAGATCCACCCCCCGCCCCTGAACTGGTTATTGCAGATAAGGTGAGGAAACGGAGACTCGGATAACCTGGATAACCAAGTACATGTAAATCTCTGGTATCACAATACAACTTTTGCTTTGCCTCTATTTTGGGAGAAAAAGAAAACAAGATTTGATATTTTGGTTCTAATCCTTATTTGCTTTTAGGAGTGGTATGTGGCTCTGGTAAAGTCTCAGTGCTGCCTTCATGGAGACGTTTCCCTGTTGGAGACGACAGAACTTCTTACCAAACTACCTCCTGCTGATCTCTTCAACATCATGAGCTGCAAGGTAATGAAGCTTGTGATTTGTGGACAATCTGCTTTACCACCTGAGCCACAGTTGCTGCAGTGCTCAAGACAGAAATGATAAATGTGAATTTATCAATTTATTTACAACTGCAGCGTATTGCATGATTTCATAATATATTAACATGTGAACTTGGATTTCTGTCATGTCTTCCCAGGAGTTTAACCTTAGCCTGTTGTGTCCATGCCTGAGTATGGGAGTGCAGCGGTTAGCGCGAGGTCAGGGGTCACTTTTGTTGGAGACAGCTTTGCAGGTGACCCTTGAGCAACTAGCAGGGGTCACCGGGTCACTTCCTGCCCCACACCAGTCCTTCCTGCCACCGCCCCAAACCCAACCCTACTGGAGCCAATTGGGTGACGTGTATGGTAAGAGTGGGAAGGAGGGGCAGCATGAGTCAAATGGATAGATTTTAACACCGTCTGTTGAAGTCTGTCTCATACAACCAGGAAGTTTGTGTTTTCTGACCCTTATTTTTTTTTTTCTTTCTCTGTACAATCCGCTTTGTTACACTGTCTCTTTCAGACCAGCCAGGTTTCTATCCCAGGGTTTTGTCACTCTGCAGAGCACTGTCTCAGTATCTGCTGAGTGTGAGCCAGCTGCCTTCTTCACTACATATTCCCTCTGACAAAGAGCACCTCATCACCACTTTTACTTGCACTGCTGCTGAGGTAAAAGACCATATATTAAACCTGTTATGTGCATTAGCCTGCTGAGTGCTCTGGATGGTGCTCTTAAACAAGTCAAACTCATCAAAAAGAAAGCATTTTTGTAGCTCAATATATTTAATCATCTTACCTTACCAATTTAGTGTTATGGTATCAGGGCTTTGTATCCACAGCATGTAAATAATGTAGCACCTTATTCTTCCCACTCTTTGACCAGGTTGTAGTGTGGCGCCTGCTCCAGGACCACTTGCCTCTGAGTGTGGACCTGCAGTGGGCTCTGTCCTGCCTGTGTCTGGCTTTGCAGCAGCCCTGCGTCTGGAACAAACTCTCCACCCCAGAGTACTCCACACACACCTGCTCCCTCATCTACTGCCTACGCCTCATTATTGTTGCAGGTAATGAGGGTGGCATGATACATTTGTACATGCCTTAAGCATTGTCAAATGCCATGACTGTATTGAGTCTTCAAGTTTTTGTCGATTCTCTGCTGATCAAACTTTTTTTCCTTGGCTTCCCAGTGGCTGTCAGTCCTGGCGACCAGCTGCTGCATCCAGAGAAGAAAAAGACAAAAGAAGATAGAGACGCTGAAGGAGACCAAGTGGACTCGGCACATGCTAACCGTGAGAAATCATTTAGAAATTGAGTCAAATTGCTGGGTTGTTGTCTGTAGTGTTTGTTTTTCAATGCTTGGTCCTGCCACTCCACTTGATGCTTATGATGCAGTTTCTTTGTTGTGTTGTTGGTCTCAAGTGAAAGCTTTAGGGGAACGTAAACATTTCTCTGTGTTGCAGACATGTGCGAGTGGCAAGCATGTGAGATCATGGCAGAGCTGGTGGAGGGCCTGCAGAGCGTCCTTTCTCTGGGTCACCATAGAAACTGTGTATTTCCGGCTTTTCTCACACCAACATTGCGCAACATTGTTATCAGTCTGTCACGGCTGCCTCTGGTCAACAGTTACACCAGAGTACCTCCACTGGTCAGTATTTAAAAGAAACAGTGCTCACTGTTCAGATACATGAATGTATTAGTGTATTTATTTAAATGCGTTGTGTGTTTAGGTTTGGAAACTGGGCTGGTCCCCTCAGCCAGGAGGAGAGTTTGGAACAACGCTGCCAGAGATCCCTGTGGACTTCTTGCAGGAAAAGGATGTCTTTAGAGAGTTTCTCTACCGCATCAACACACTAGGTATAAAAGTACTCAGATACACTTAAAAAATTGACTTTTCGTCACTACGCCTACTCACACTGTACAGTATCTCATCACATTTATCCAATTTTACTGTTTAATTAAAATTTTTTCTGATAATTTTGCTCTGAATGTGAAACATTTTCTCATCTGAACTGGCTACATTTGCTTGCTGTTTAGGCTGGAGCAGCAGGACTCAGTTTGAGGAGACCTGGGCCACTCTGCTGGGGGTGCTGGTCACCCAACCAATCACTATGGACCAGGAGGAGGAGACACAGCAGGAGGTATGCACACAACCAGAAAAAAAATCACTCAAAACATGCTGTCTGATTATAGTGGTCATAAAACTACAAACCTCATCACTTGTGCATATGGAAGCAAGCATCTATGTATTTCATTCAGACGTCCATAGGTGATTGCATGCTAAATATGTTGTGACTCCAGAGAAACACTGCAATACTGCAATAAGTTGTGGTAAAATTCCTCATTCTCCCTACTTGCTGTTCCCATCATCTGTATTTTCTTATCCGTTTGTCTCTAGGAGGACTTGGAGCGTACCCAGTTGAATGTGCTAGCAGTGCAGGCCATCACCAGCCTGGTGCTGAGTGCCATGACCCTACCCACCGCTGGCAACCCTGCAGTCAGCTGTCTGGAACAGCAGCCCCGCAACAAGAGCCTCAAAGCCCTGGAAACACGGTAGCTTTGCGGCTGTTATCTGTGTACTGTGTGGAAGCCCTAAAATAAGCACGTGGTGAATAGATTATTTGTCTGTGTGTGTGCGCCCAGGTTTGGAAGGAAACTTGCAGTGATTAGGGGTGAAGTGGAGAGAGAGATCCAGGCTCTTGTATCAAAGAGAGACAATGTCCATACACACCACCCATACCACGCCTGGGACCCTGTGCCCTCACTGTCAGCAGCCTCTGCAGGTAACAGGCAAACTGCATTCACACATCTCTTAACTCCAGCTCCTCCACTGACAAATACCGCTTGTTTAATTTGTTTGTAATAACCTTCTTGCTTATATTTGTTTCAGCAGGTACGCTGATCAGCCATGAGAAACTGCTGCTTCAGATTAACACAGAGAGGGAGATGGGCAACATGGATTACAAACTGGGGCAGGTAAGAGAAGCATGAGAGATAGGAAGTAATGGTGGGATGCTTGAGAAACATGTTGGATGAAGCTTTTAAAGTCAGTACCTAATGTGCATTTCATTTGGAATTTTGCCCACCAGGTCTCCATCCATTCAGTGTGGTTGGGTAACAACATCACTCCTCTGAGGGAGGAAGAATGGGGTGAGGATGAGGAAGATGAGGCCGACACTCCAGCGCCCACCTCACCACCCATATCTCCAATTAACTCTAGGTCAGAGAGATAAACGCACAATTCCATGTTGTCTCATGTCTAAGGCACTAAGATAAGCATTCACACCTTCATCTACTCTCCTTGTTTGCTTTTAGGAAGCACCGTGCAGGGGTGGACATTCATTCATGTTCTCAGTTTCTCCTGGAGCTTTATAGCCAGTGGCTCATCCCTGGCTCTCCAAGCAACAGGAGGACCCCAACCATCCTCATCAGTGAAGTGGTCCGATCGGTGAGCTGAGATGCATGTGCTCCGTCATTATCTCATTTGTTCAGCCAGGCATCTGAGAGTTGTACTTTGAAGCAAATTTGACGTAGCTGGGCTTTCTTTACATAAGCCGGGTCGACAAAATCTAAAATCGGAATCGGAAATAATATCACAAGGGTGGTTATCAACTTTCTTTTTTAACCCAGGGTTTCTCCTTCTGGCTCCGTGTGCACTCCTGTAAAAGGGGGTGTTTGATGCATTATTTGATGCTTTCTCAGAAAATGGACTGATCTTGTGCCAACAACTTCAGTCTGTTTTTAAAAAAAAGTTAATAAGGGGAAAATTCAAAATTGCAAGGAAAGTCAAAATATATGTTATTGATTGAATAATCTGTGATGACTAATCAATTTTCTAATCAGTGCTCTGTTAGCTGCAGTAGCAGCAGTGTAAATCAGCACCAAACACAGACACATTCATACATTTTCTGCATTACCAACTGAATACATGTAGGTTCCCATGGTAACACAATCCAATTTGCCTCCAGTAACTACATGGATTTGTTCAGTGGCATTACTAATGTGCTAGCCTAACATGTTTGCAGACATAACTTATTCCCTGAGCTGAAAATCTATGTCATTCAGAGAAAATATGGTCAACTAAAGAGCTGATGAAAGGATGGTGCTTCTCATAGCCAATGTAAATGCCAAACAGAACCTGAACAGAATGTTTTCTGAAGCAGGTTAGCTGTGCAGCTTCAGTTACCATGGTGATTGAGTAAAGTTAAAAGAGAGCCACTTTCCTGACATTGAAAATTCTACCGTTTGGCTCAACTTATTTTGCTTTCCCTTGATCTGGCTTCATAGTACAGCCCCCTGTTCGTTCACATGAGTAAAGGATTGTCTCCTGTTCTTTGAAACTAAACTGTTTCACCCAAGCATATTCTCAGAGACTGTATGACCCTCTCCTCTTCCATTCTGATACATTAAACAATTATTTGAGGGGGAATAGTCCCTGCTGAACTTGGCCCCTCTTGTGTCTCTTTTGCTCACCTTTCTCTGCAGCTGCTGGCGGTGTCAGACCTGTTCACAGAGAGGAACCAGTTTGACATGATGTTTTCCACCCTGATGGAACTGCAGAAGCTCCACCCACCAGAGGACGAGATCCTCAATCAGTACCTGGTACCTGCCATCTGCAAGGCGGCTGCTGTTTTGGGCATGGTGAGTGGAGCTGTGTGTGATGGAACACCTGATGTGGGGGAAGGATGTGTGTAGCAGTGGTGTACTATTAACCCCGATGCTCTGACAACATATAAAACTGTTTAAATGTTCATTTCAGGACAAAGCAATAGCCGAGCCTGTGTGCCGCCTGTTGGAGACGACCCTGCGCAGCACCCACCTGCCCAGCCGCATGGGGGCCCTGCATGGGGTGCTTTACGTGTTGGAGTGTGACCTGCTAGATGATACAGCCAAACAGCTCATCCCCACCGTCTCTGAGTACCTTCTATCCAACCTCAGGGCTATCGCTCAGTAAGTATGGCTCTCATCTTCTAGTATCAAACGCACGCAGACATTGACCTCATTTCATCTCCTAATGAGCTGAATAGATGATGAAAGAGCCTTAGGGAGCCAATGTCTTTAATGTCAGTGTGTGAATCCCCCCACCCCTTCACCGTAAGAGGATCGTTGCATCAATTAGTTGTTATCCTGCTTAATAGGGTGATTGGTGAGTGCAGTGCAACTTTTGGCCTCTAGGTGCTGCCTTTGGCATTTCAGAAAATCACTTACTGGCCTTTCTATTTCACCAGCTAATTGTTATCTTGTCCGCTCGCTGTGTGTCTCCTGTTTCTGCCCTGCAGCTGTGTGAACCTGCATAACCAGCAGCACGTGTTGGTGATGTGCGCGGTGGCCTTTTACATGATGGAGAACTACCCTCTGGATGTAGGAGCTGAGTTCATGGCTGGAGTTATACAGGTAAGGAAAAATGGAGGAAAGCAAACCCGTATGTGTATCACATATTACACAATAGAATGAACATTTATAATTAAATAGACCTGTCCAGGGTGTCCCCAGCCTTCGCCCTAAGTCAGCTGGGATAGGCTCCAGCCCACCCGCGACCCTAATGAGGATTAAGCAGTGTATAGATAATGGATGGATATATATATACACACACATATATATACACTCTATAAAACATTTGTATTGGTTCTTGAAACCTAAAAGAGCAGTCCAGTTGCTTTTTACTGAAGCTCCTAAAACTTATCTATGCCTGATGGTAAGAGAACCAAAATTCTAGACACATTAAATACAAGTTCTACATCCTAAATTTGTTTGCCCTTAGGGTAGTATACATCCTTTCTGTTTTTTTCCTAGAAGCTTCAGTAGTTTTCTCCTCATTTTAATCAAGTCTACCTCTCTGAGTTCTGTTTTCTGTTCTTTCTGTCTTGCTTCGATCTCCTTCCAGTTGTGCGGTGTGATGGTGTCAGCCAGTGAGGACTCCACTCCCTCCGTCATCTATCACTGCGTGCTCCGTGGTCTGGAGCGCCTCCTTCTGTCCGAGCAGTTGTCACGTGTGGACGGAGAAGCGCTGGTCAAACTGAGCGTGGACCGAGTCAACATGCCGTCGCCACACAGAGCCATGGCTGCCCTCGGCCTCATGCTTACCTGCATGTATACCGGTAAGAAGAAAGGCTTAAACATGGCTGCTCACTTAAACATCCATCAAAAATGTGTTGCATGCTGGCTTACTCACTGGCATGGACAACGTTAGGACTGGTGCTACCATTATTGCTCCTGTGACTGACCTTCACAAAGAGCTGCACACCTGCTATAACATCATGCTGGCTGACTAACACACCTGCATGGACACTGATGCAGTACTCTTAAGTTACACATTCAGACTTGACTAATACATACCTGCTTTGCCCCTGTATGATTGTGTCCTATTTCTTCCCTGTGCTTTCGTCCTAAACCCCATCCTTTGTAACAGCATGTAAGATGTAGTGTTGTCCCTGCACTAAGCTGTGAAGTGACCCCTTCACTTCTTACACATTATAGGGTTTGTTTTAGTTTTGATCAGTAAGAAATAAATGTAGAGGGCAGTAATGTAGCTAACATAATAAACAACATTGCTTCTTTCCAGTTTCAATCTTGGTATTCTTTACTGGAGTTACTTAACTCATATCTGACAGTGACTGAAATGAAGCAGAATGTGTTGAGAAGGGAGAACTAGGGCAATCTAAATAATAGGGTAGAAATGTAATGCTGCCCTTAAGCCTACTGAAATACTACCACAATAGCTTATGCATGATTGTGCATGCCATTACAGCGATAATATTTTTACTGCACTTTTACATTTAAATAAAAAAAAACAAACACTGCTTTCTCTTCCATGTTGTCACATTCATGCCTTTTTTTTACTGCCAGAGTTACAAATCTGCCCTTTTTACACCCACTACCAGCAGTACCGTTCACATCTACATGTACTCTCATTCGTTAGGTCTCTCTACAGCATAACAAACCTTTAAAAACTCCAACGTCTTTCATTTAACATTTAATACACCTGCTTGCTTCCTGCATGTGATGCATATTGTATACATACCTCCGGTGTACCCTACCTCTAACCCTTACGTTGGCCCCTACTAACTTTAGCAACTCTTAGCATGTTATTGTCCATATGCTAACAGCCTAAATAACATTTCTTTGTTGCTAAGACCTAGCCAGCAGAACCTTTGAATAAACCCTGGCTCTTGCAAATATACACCGACTTATGACTTTCTGCGCATTTCTCCTGTGCTGTATGTGCAAGCTAAAGCACATTCAGGTCACAGAGGCTAATCTAGAATGTGATGTACCCAGGAAACATGGCCTTGAAAACCTGCAATACTTTCAGCACCAGTCACTTATAGAAAACCTTAAGAATTTCATGTGATTCATTTTGAAATGGTAGCTCCCAGAAATTCACCAATTTTCTGTTTGAGGTCAACAAAATTCTGATCTGAATCTTGTGATGTGAGTGTCCGGACTTCCAGTCTAACCTTTACCCCACTGGTTCGACCGGTGCCACCCCCCCCTCTCGTCTTCTCAGCGGTGCTTGCGTCGGGTTCAGACGTGACAGGGGTTAGAGGTCAGGTTGACTCTGGCTCTGCTGTTGCGGAGGCGGTGGGCGTCACGGCGGGTCATGTTGGTTTCTCCTCAGGCAAGGAGAAAGCCAGCCCTGCCAGCCGCCCTGCCCACTCTGACCCCCAGGCCCCAGACAGCGAGTCAATCATTGTTGCCATGGAGAGGGTCTCTGTGCTCTTCGACAGGTACATACTCCTCTGCGCACCCTTCATTATAATACGAAAAATTCACACAGCATTTGTAATCAGACCATACACTTGAAACTTTTACTTTCCAGCTATTCTTTTTTTTACTTTTAGGCCTTGACTTCTGCAGGTTTGTAGAGTTCAGAAATAAGTTGATTGTGGCAGCACATGGAGTTTTTAGACAAACGGTATCTTACGTTTCCTATCCTCATTTGCTCTGCTGGGGTTTCCTGTTTGCAGGATTAGGAAGGGTTTACCCAGCGAGGCTCGCGTGGTGTCCAGGATTCTGCCTCAGTTCCTGGATGACTTCTTCCCACCACAGGACGTCATGAACAAGGTCATCGGAGAGTTCCTGTCCAATCAGCAACCTTACCCTCAATTCATGGCCACCGTCGTCTACAAGGTAAGCAGCTGGACATAGGTGCGTACATATAAAGGAATCAGCCATTTGTGCCTGCATGGGATCCAAGCAAAGCAGGCTTTTTTTTCTTTTTTTTTTTAAATGTCAAAATTACACCATTTATTAGAGATAGAAACTGTAAAAACAGAGTAAGTTGACTTTTAACTTTCTGAACGTCCTTGAACTGACTGTGTTACTTTCTAAGCTTAAAATCATGATATCTCATTAATCTTTATTCTATAAGTCTCATTTTGGTGCAACCAAGAAGCCATTAGTGACATGGCTGCAACCAAGAATCAAGTGATAAAAATTCAGGGACTGCAGGTTGTTTACACAGAGTAGATCAATACAAGTATGGAGTTGAATTAAAATGCAATGAGTAAAATATCTACTGTATGTAGAGCCATGTTTTTTCTCCAGTGTTGGTTAACACCTGTGGGCACCTGGAAAAATGTTGGCCATGTTTATTCCAGTTCTTTTTTTTTTTTTTTTGTATGGCATTTATGGCATTATAACTTTGTTATGCTGCACAAAATGTGTTTTTGAATCCAATCTTCTTAAAGCTACGATTGTACAGTTTTTATAGAGTTTTATAGACTTTATATTGCAGTGATAAATGAGCTCACGGTGACTGAAAACAAGACAGAATCAAAAACACCCAGAGTTATCTTCAGTAAGCAAAGAATTTCAATTAAATCAAGTGTTTAATTCTACTTGATGTCTTGTTTTGACTGTTTTTTTTCTGTTGTACAATATCAAGTAGAAGCAAAGATGATGGGTTCCAGTTATTTTCACGGGAATGTAGGATAAAGAATAACTCAGAGATCAGTGCAGTTAGTAGAATTGCCTCAGAGCAAATCATTCCCAAATGTTTGTGTTGAAAGGGGACTTATCCTTCACCTTCTAAATGTTAACTTTTGTTGTGCTTTGATTTTGCAAAAACAAGTCTAAATCTGGCAAACTCATTTCTGGAAAACAGCTTCTGAGAGTCGGCTCCTATGAGGTGTATTTCTTGCCTCAGATTGATTTTAAACTCACTTTCGGATGGTTATTTGATATTTCACTGAATAGCAGTTATTTCTTTCAATTTGAAAACTGAAATCAAATCTGACAGCCAAGTGAGTGTCTCAGGGAAGGAGAGCACTTGTGAGTCATCCAATGTACTGTTATCAGAAAATACTCACGTCATCGCCAGACCACAATCAGCAACTGAGGTTTTGTGGGAAAAAAATACCAAATGGACATCTGATTTTCTTTTTGTCTTTCAATACTTCAACTGAAGCACTTTTTAGTAGAAATTTGATGGTTCTTACCAAGTAATGGATCTTGTCCTTGTGTAATTTTGTTAAAGTTTCCCCTCTTTCACTCCTGCCTTTCCGTCTGCTGTGCATTCATATTCAGGTTTTCCAGACACTCCATGCTACAGGCCAGTCTTCCATGGTGCGAGACTGGGTGCTGCTGTCTTTGTCCAACTTCACACAGAGGACACCAGTGGCCATGGCCATGTGGAGCCTCTCCTGCTTCTTTGTCTCTGCTTCCACCTCCCAGTGGATCTCAGCTCTGTATCCTTAAATAGAAATATGTTGGTTAGGCTTTTGTATTTAGTGGCATATAGGTGTAAATGCTACAGATTTGTCATTGCTCACCAACCGGTGTGGTATCCTATCCTTAACTCCAGCTGCTTTTAACCAGACTGCCACATGTGATCAGCCGAATGGGCTCCAGTGAGGTGGTGGACGTCAACCTGTTCTGCTTGGTGGCCATGGATTTCTACCGACACCAGATTGACGAGGAGCTGGACCGCAGGGCTTTCCAGTCTGTCTTTGAGACCGTGGCATCGCCAGACAGCCCTTATTACCAGCTGCTGGGCTGTCTGCAGTCAATCCACCAGGATACATCGCTCTGAGGGCAGTGGACTGAGACGCCAGAGGGAAGGAAGCACGGGGAGAAAAGTGGATTAGAATGAGATGTGGTAGGGTGAGAAATTAGATCTCCATGTACACTTCCCCTATGAGTTGTTATGGCGCGAAAGAACAGAATGTTTTATTAGAAAAACCTACTGTAGCCTCATCCTTACCCCCGCCTTGTCACTGATATGAAATAAGTAGAACTACTGAACTCACCAGGATGATTTCAGTGGATGAACAGAGGAAGAAATATGAATCCAGTGTTAAGGTTTATGTTAAATGTAAATGGGGCAGTCTCTGAATAGGAAGAGTGAGCTCCTGCATCTATATGAAGGACAGTGGCTGCAAAACTGTGGTTCAGCCCACAAACAACCCCCTGCTCCTCCCCGGACCGATCCTCAAGACATGACAGCACCTTGAACACTTCCTACCCAGCACCTTTTATCAAAAAAAAATATATAAAGATAACGTTAATCAAACACAAAATTGGATTTGTTTATTTTCCTGTGAGGACTTGCTTGAGTATTGTGATGTCAGTAAAATAAAACAGACAAAAAAATAGAAAATGGAAAGTATTTACTATATTTAAAGTTTCAATGCATCTATTTTTCAGTGAGTTTTGTTAAAGAGTGCTTTAGGTCTGACTAGGATGCTGACGCAAAAGAGTCAGACATGCCTGCTCAATGTTGTCAATAATTAGTATATTTGGAGACCTTTTTATATTTAAGTTAGTTGTGGTCATTCTGAGACACAGTTGTTAAATAGTAGAATATTGTATGTGTAAGAATGATCACTAATAGCCATAGTCTTTTTTTTTTTTTTTTTTCACGAGAAGCAGATGATTGCAGTTGTTTGTCACTGCAGAAAGTGCGACTCATTTCTGCAAGTTGCTGCAACTATTCTGGATGTTATATTGAGAAGGCAGAGAACTACACCTGTATGTACTGAGCAGTGGAAAAGAAATCACACTTTCTGCCACGATTCCAAATTCATACATAATTTTAACTGTTTACGGGCCCATATATCTACACCTAAATAACTGTCAAGCAAGAAAAATACCAAAATTTCAGTGATGTTGTCTTCTTTTTTTTAACCAGTAGCAGGGGAGGGAGGGAAAAGCATTTCCTCTGATGATTTTATGGTAATGCTTATGTCTTGTCTTGTCTTCTTTTTTTTCTTTTCTTTGCAATCTTGTATGCTCCCCGGTTCACCTGAATGATTCCACCAATCCATTTCTTGTACTTTTTTAATTCTCAGGATGTAAGATGTGATTACATTATTGTTGTTGTAATAAGACTGGAAGTAATTTACAGTCCTCTTTGAATGGAGTGACCTTCGTATCTTGTAAAAAGTAATTGTATAGTAACAAGAAAGCCATGGTGCATGATAAAAATAAGGATTGTGTAAAGATAGGGAGGGGGGGGGCATAGACCGTTTGATAATGTGATGCCATTTTCTTTTGTCTTAACACACGTACACATGCACAAAAGAAAATGAAAAATCAGTGACTCAGCAGACCGCAGAATGCAGAAAGCTTCAAGCTTATAGTGTTTTATTAAAGACTTGACCTAGAGTTGCCTGGGAGCGTGCTGGGCTTCGTTACTCTGTACATACACTTGCCTTAGATAAAACACTGAATATGTATGTCCTGTACACTGAAGGCTTGAAAGCATGCTTACTGCTATTTTCTTGCATTGTCTTTAATACTGTATTTCCATGGGTACGGTTGCCATGACTGTTTGTGTGGAAGAGATGCAACACAATCCAAAGGGAGCTTTGTAACCTTAGCGACCAACAGCAGCTTTGACAAATCAACAGACGAGGAAGTGTAGCGAAGTGATGCCACGTCACAGCAGGAGTTTTTTTTCTGTTTTTGTTGAGCTTTAAATATCGTTTTTGTCTCGGTTTAAGATTGGTAAATATTTCATCATTCATAGTCTTTGTGCAGAATATTAAACACACACGGCACTTAAAAACTTGAAGTTCTTTTCATATTGATGTTAGGCGCTTTCTTGATATGCAATGAGTCCTGCAGTAAGTAAACATCACAAAGAGTTGGATGCTAAATATGTTACCACTTTTTCCAACTTTCAAGGCAATGACTGGTTTCCTTTGATCATGTCAAAATAATGTATTCACTCAATAAATGACTGAGTCCTCTGTTATTCCTCTGAAATTCCAATGTGAGGCCTCGCTGAAGCTGATTAAAGGATCCTAAATGAGTCGTTTTCAAAGTCATTTCGAATTTGCGGGTATGAGAAGAAATTAAGGATGACAGAGAAGTCTTTTTTTTTTTTTTGCTGTGTACTATTTGGTGTTCGTTCAAAAACAGGAAGGAGACACATTTCTTTTCAGGTTGTCTTTTCCTATCTTCCCTGGGCATGAGATGAGCAAAGGAGCCCTGCAGGGGGTAATACGATTACCCAGAAATCTTTTGTGGTTTTGGGAGATGGGCTTGGTGCTCATGGACAAAGGTCATGCTCAAGTGATTGAACACGCTCTCCTTTAAAGCTTTATGTTTCTTCCACATGAAGAACAGAAATCCGAGAATCACTGCTTCAAATGTTTCTTTGCCATGTTCTTCAGATAATGTCTTTGCACTTAGCATGTTGGCACTTGGCTTTAAAAGAATACCTCTTTTCCCCTTTCTAGAAAATACATACATATTTTTTAGTTATAATTTAGAATGATTCCCTGTACATTTTCTTTAGGCTGGATCTTCGACAAGCCTCCCTCAAATCTTTTTTAAAAATTTTATTTTAAACAATTGCCTGTACAAACTCGACTGAAAGACATTATGTATCTCAGCGAATATTTTAAATAGATTAATCACTGCATCATGGTCTGTTATAGAAATAAATTATTTAACGCTGTTTCGAGATATGATTTCCGTTGTGAGAGCTGTAACTTGAGCATGATGGCAAACTAGCTGAAGGTGTTTGATGTGTTTGCAGATAACTATATTACAGCCACCACTGTGTGGCTTCCAGAAGATCCATTATGTGTCTCTAACACAATCATATTGCAAGGCATTTAAAATGTTCTGCCTCCTTTTTCTCTCCACTAGAAAGAACAACCTGTTGCCACCCAATTACCCAGAGAGGCAACAAACTGTCAAGCTGAACTTCGCAGGAACCGCTGTGGAAAAAATATTTGTGCTCATTTAAAAGGTGCAGACCTGAAATGACCTCTCAAGTTATCACATTTTGTACAATTTCCTTTTCTCAGCCAAACAGCAGTTACCTTTTATAGACTCCATGATATGAAAGCATACTCTTGATTTACAGCACCCATTAAGATGGGAGGTTCATGATTAAAAGGAATTAACAGGATTACCAGGCAGCTGCCATATGGCTCATGAAGCACTAAAATCATGGTGGAAAAGGTATTAAGTAAACTGCACATAGCTGCTGAACCTTCCAGCTTTACTTTGCATCATGTTATCTACAAGATTTACACAAAGAATTAGTGTCTTTGATTGTTTAGTAGATTTAATTGCAACTTGCACATTTTTATTTTTTAAACCTAAAATAACAACAGGTGTGATGTGCTATAACTGGACTTGTGGATATCGAAACCGAGGTGCTCTAATTACACTTTGCAAGATCCATGCGCACACCAAAGTTTTTTGGACACATGCAGGTTTCTTGAACAAGTTTAATTTAGATGAAGCTGTTTTGATAAACTTATTTGATTTTTATTATTGGTGTAGATTTCCAACCAAGGCGAGTCTTTTTTCTTCATCATATCAAACAGACATGTGAGATATGATCTGAGCATGCAGAAAGTTTAAAACATGAGCAGAAAGCTTGCTGTGATGCATATAAGCAATTAAAATCCAGGTGTTTATGAATTAATTTATCACTGATGTGAACAGGTTCCAAATGCACAGTAAGAAAATAAGATTGGTGCTGCGAATGAACCTAACAAGTTCACATATTGAGGTTTAACACCCTACAGGGCTATATATGGTGTGAATTTAGAAGAATTATTGAAATATTAAGGATCAAAACCTGACTAAATATATCTTGAAAATACAAACTTTTCCTAACTTTGATAAAGATTTGGGCTAAAACCCTACAGTATTGCTGACTGTGGAGATTAACCTGACTAACTTAGAACTACAGATCTGAAATTACAAGAAAATATAAGGAAAACCTACAAATTAAAGCAAGTTTAAATGCATTTTTGCTCAGAATAAGGATTCAGAAGTTGAGGAGGAACCTCTTCACAGCCACTGTGGACAGAAAGAACGATCACAGGGATTTTTTTAAAGGTACCTACACACTGCAGGCATTGTTTTCTGACTAACCTGGAAAAAACACAACTGCCTTTTCTTGAAAACAGATGGAAACAATGGAAGTGGCACTTTGTTCCTTGAGGAGCTTTGTCTGACCTTCAGGTTAAGCTTTTTTTTTGTAAATAAGCTTTCTTTTTATTTCTTTTTATGTGTGTGGGTGGGTGAAAAAGTTTGTGTTGTTATACATGTTTAGATTTTACTTTTTTTTTTTTTTATAAATAAAATAAAAATAAGTACTCAATTATTTTACTAAATCAATTTAAATAGGCTATTTCCCCAAACAAAAAGACACAAACAATGGACAAAACCATGCAAAAAGCTGATATTGGAGCATAAAAGGTTAAAAGCAATGTATTATGCTTAACAGATGTCAAGAAGTACACTCCATTATATTTGAATTGCCACTAAGTACCTAAATTGATGCAAAAAAAATGTAGAAATTGTTGCATAAAAATTCACCAGAATGCAGAAAATTAAATGTTTGACACTCAAAATGTCCTGCTTAATGTTTGAATGTTCAAACCAAATCTAGGTTTAAGAGACAGCATGGCCCATTTAGAGTCAGTGAATCTTGACTCTTCAGTCCCCCTCGGAGCTCCCTCCTCCGCTGCCCACTCTAAACACACCTCCCTCCGCTCCAGTCCTCCTCCTCTTAAGGCTACTTCGCCAGATGGTGCAGTCTTTTCTTTTGTTTACCCATCGCCCCTGAGTTTACCTAACTAACCTTAGCTACAAAACTATGGAAACTTCCCGAGCAGCATCACCGCTGGACACCGACAAGTAAGTCGCTTCTTTACTCTCCAGTTGAAGGAACACCGCTGCTGCAAACATCTTTGTCGCAACATGAAAAAAAAGACCTGCATCCACCTCTTTATTTAGCTATCCCCGCTTTTTTTCTTTTTACAATTCACACGTATTTTAGCCAGCTGTTGTCGCTCCTTGCTGTCTGTTTCCACTGCCTGCTGGTAAAAAAAAAAAAAAAAAAAGGAAACACACACGCAGTTTGCTTCTAGTAAAACAGCAAATTACTGCAACTACGTGCCACTACGCCAACTCGTGTGATGCATTTTGACACCTGTGGAATAAGGCTACTGTTGGGACTTTTATTTGTGATTTCTCAATCTAACTTTTTTTTTTTGCCAATTTATCCGCATAACTGTTCGTTTGCGTGATTGACAAGTCGGGAAACCAATGACAGGATATAAAAGTCTGTGTACACCGCCGTTGCTACGGTAACGCGCCGACATTCCACAAAGCTGGAAGCAGAGGGGCGGGACTACAGCTCCAGCACGGGTGGATGCGCTTTTGAAGCAACAAGTAACGGCAAGAGGAAAAAACTTTTTTTTTTTTTTTTAACAACTCTAACGAACTGACAAAAAACACAAAATACTCAATGTAAAGTCACTTTGTCGTTAATGTCTCTCATTAGCGATCACTTTGCAACCGCTGCTAACTTTTCTACCATGCATGGTTAAGCTAACTAAGCTAACGGCAACGCGTCAGCTAAATCTCAGCTAACGTCTTCTCAGTGAGCCTCGTAGACTGTGGACAAGAAGTGGTTTACCACAAATAAAAGTCGTACTTCATGTTGGTAAAAAGCGACAGTTGGTTTAAAAGTTAAAAGCTGTTTAAAATGATCCCAAAGCGCTGGTGAAGAAGGCTGGAGCTGCCAAACTTTACCTGCTCTGAGTCCAGCCTGTACAGGTGTGGCTGTTTCAGTCCCCTCCCCTCCACCTGCCTTGCTAACGACCAGTGCAGTGCTTCATAACGGTATGCAGAACAGTTTTTGTGTCATCACATGATGTTTGATCTCCATAAAGGTTAACTATTTGATAGAAGCTCAAGTAGAGAAAATAAGGGCACGTTAAAGTCATTTACTTGTATCTGTTCATCTGTGCTTCAGGTAACTTGCCTGGAAGCCACAGGGCATGTTGGTTGAAAGAGAAAATATTAAAGTGAAAAGTTGTTTAAAGTGAAGTGAAGCAGGCTGTTGCTGCCAGATTTTACCTGCATGCCTGAAAGAGCTGCTCTGACTCCAGTCTTTGCAGGTGTGGCTGTATTCGCCCCCTTCACTCCACCTGTCCTATTACCTATCAATAATGTGCTTTATAACTGGATGCATTACAGAGTTTTTATGCCACCACACAGGCTAGAAATACAGAGTGTGTGAATTTGTAATTGTGGAATCAGATAGGCTAAAAAGAATGTTTGACCCCGAGTG